AATAAAAAATTTTAGGCGAGCTATGGTGGCCTAGTGGCAAGAAGCCGCACTGCAATCTCAGAGGTACACGGTTCGAATCCACCAGATGCTCTGCTGGAGAAGGAGGAACAATCTCCTCCTCCTGTATCAGTCAGATCTGATTTGACGGTACACACAAAAAATAAAAATTAAAAAGAAATTATGTCCAGCATTATTTTAAAGGCAAGGTTTCTGATCTCTTGCCTTATTGATCTTTAGAGTTGGATCATTCTTGCTTTTGACGACTGTCCTGCACATTGTAGAATTTTTAGCTGCATCCCTGGTCTCTGCTCACTAGGTGCCAGTAGTGTGTGTGTGCGCACACACACACACTCTCCATCATTGTGACAACAAAAGTATCCCTAAGCATCACCAAATGTCCCCTTGGGGGTCAAAATCTCCGTCCACTGAAAAGCCCTGTTCTAAATTTATAACTCAGCTTTTGAAAGTTCACTGATGCTTTAAAATTGTTTCTCTAGATTTAAGTAGAGTCTGTTAAGAGAAGGCACCGTGATCAACAAATATAAGCAATTCTTTACTGTGCAACCAAGGGAAGCTGACATTGTTTCCTTGGGGCCATTTAAGACAATAACATGTTGACAGTAGATGGGCAAGGGCTCACCATTTTGTCATACTCATAGTAGGAGAGGTTTGTTTTGGTCAAAACAAAAAGACGCTCTTTGTAATTATTCGGTGACATCTTCTTCTTTTGCTGGGACTTTTTGAGCAGGAGTTCTTCTAGTATGGATTTTGTGTCCATGTTATCGTCCTAAAGAAAAGGAAGTCATTAGAAGGCGAGCTTGAAGCCTCTAACTAACTAGGCCTGCATAATTTCACTCCCCTAAGTTCTCATTCACAGAGGATCTCAGTTTAACTAAACAGGCTCTTAAATGCACACAGTTCTACAAGGTTTTCTTTGTTGTCCTTTCTTTGATTTTTTTTTAAAATATGGTGACTCTCAAAGCATTTTCATCATTGTACCCGTGAGTCCCCATCTTTGCACCAACTTCCAGGTCATGTACCTTATCAACATATCATTGACCTGATAAACATTCTGTGGATGTTAGTTACATTTACTTGGATGCTATCAAACTTTAAAACTTGGATTCCAGGCAGCTCACCATGATCTAAGTCATCGATCAACTGAGATTCCTCTTCATTAATGCAGCCAGTTGTTTGACCAAACTACCAAAACCCTGGTGCAACCACTATGGAAGGCTGTATGGCACTTTCTCAAAAAGTTGCAAATAAAAATACCATTTGACCCAGCAATTCCAATACTGGGAATATACCCTAAAGAAATCAGAACTGCCACCTAAGCAGATAAATGCATACCCATGTTTATTGCAGCTTTGTTCACAGAAGCAAAGATCTGGAAACAACCCAAGTGCCCATTGACAAACGAATGGATAGAGAAGCTCTGGTATATTCACAAAATTTAATATTACGCAGCACTGAAAAACAAGTAACTCATGCAATATTATTAAAAATGGGTGACCCTGGAGGACATTATACTGAGTGAAATATCTCAGTCACAAAAGGACAAATACTGCATAATTCCACTGTTGTAAAACAGGACTAACATCACAGTTGGGGGGAGTCTGAGAAAGAAGGGATAAATAATGTATATTGCATTGAAACAGATGAGGGAGAAAACTGTTTAAAGGGGATATGTGAAAAAAAAGGGATATGTGATTAGGTATTTTTGTAATGACAGGAGTCCAGGGCGAAGGCTGCATAGTGGAGTGGACTTGGGGGGAGGAACTGTATAACAATGAAAGAATTTTTTTTCCAAAGAGAAAAATGAACTGGGGGAGGGGTGGGCATGAGGGAAACTGTGTAACAATGAATGAATGGGGAAAACTTAAATGGAAAGAAAATGCTGTAAAATATATGTTATTGTTGTTAAGTGCCATCGAGTTGCTTGCGACTCATAGCGACCCTATGTACAACATCCCTAAACTCTGCTCTGTCCTGTGTCAATCGCACCGTCTCTGACACACCCATCCCAATTACCCCAGTCACTGAATCAATCCATCTCATAGGGGGCCTTCCCTTTCTGCGCCATCCCTCCACCCTCCCAAGCATGATGTCCCTCTCCAAGGACCTGTCCCTCCTTGCGAAATGTCCAAAGTATGTTAGATGGAGCCTTAGAATCCTTGCTCCAAGGAGCAGTCCGGTTTGACCCTTTCCAGGATGAATCTGTTTGTTTTCCTAGCAGTCCATGGTACCCTCAATACTCTTCTCCAGCACCACAGCTTAAGGGCATCAATTCGCCTTCTATCCTCCTTAGTCATTGTCCAACTCTCTGATGCATAACAAGTGATAGCAAAGACCATGGCCTGTATCAGATGCACCTTAGTCTCCAAAGAGACACCTATGTAAAAATTTGTATATATATATATATATATATACACACACACACACACAATGGTGCATAAAAAACCAACAAACTACCCAAACCCACCATGAGACCCCAGTGTCAATGTAGGTGGCACCCACAGTCTCTGAGCATGCACAGAAGTTTGATAGAAAGGTCATGATTATGCTTTCAATATCCCTGATAAAGAATTTCAAATCTAAACCAACATCCAACCTCCACTGTGGTCGAATAGGTTCTGACTCATATCAACCCTCCAAGGTTGTAAATATTTATGAAAGAAGACTGTCCCTCTTTCTTCCACAGAGCCCCTGGTGGATTTGAGCCACAGACCTTTCAGTTAGCAGCCCAGTGTACCACACATTACACCACCACAGTTCCTTACACTGACACACAAGAATAAAATGAGAGAACATGATAAGAGATAGAGTGAGCAATAGAAAATACTATCAAAAGAGATGGAAAAGAACGGAAAGAAAAAACCACAAATGGTGTATTTACAAACTAAAAATATTCTTGCTTCCTTCCTGCTCTTTCTCAATCACATACAAGAAACTAAGGTAGTTCTGGAAAATGAATGCATTGTTTTTCCACTCCTGCTAAGTCTACTGTCTCCATCGTCAGCTGGATGTCACCTCTGAGCATGAAAAGTAGCAAGCTTAAGCAGTAATCTACAGTAATGAGCTGCAGATGTCCTTTGCTTTGTGAAATCCCATAGTTATTTGCAGTCAAATGGCTAATGGCTGCCATCTTGCTTGGCTAATTGATAAGCTGAAGGTAATTAGCATTACTCACCTTGTTCTTGATAGAGACACAGCTTACGTGCAGGAAGCGTCCTTGACGCCAACTCTGGAGCTCTCAGCCAATATTACTGCTCCCAGACACTATCACTCTCTGGCCTCCCGCTTTGCCAGGGTCATGGATTATAAAGAAGATATTTGCATGCAGTTTATTAGTGTTGCTCAGGAAGCAAGCATGCAGGCAAGTCTCTGTCAGGATGGAGGTGGGCACCCACAGGGTCCGTGCGATCACCAGCAGGCGCCTCTTCGCCCTGGCCCAGGAATATCACGAGCCCACTATGAAGTGAGGCCCAAGAAAGGAGGACTCTCGCCGGACTTTAAATAAGCCAAGATCGGGTCCAGTCAGCTTTCTTCCTGATTTAGCCCACACCACCACTCAGGCCTCAAGGAAACCCACTTTTATGATATGTTTGCATGTATCAGGTGACTATTTGTTGTTGATCCCTAGAATGTCTTCCAAGGGCCGGGTTTTATTGGGAGACAGAAGTAGTAAGAATGTTATCCACGAAACAGAATAAATTCTTGGTTACCTTTTGCTCTGGCTATTATTTTATCTGAAAACAAAAGAATAATTCTCTTGCAAACATGGAAATCCGGAACATTTGAGCACAATGGGGGCTGCTTGCCATGACCTTGGGTTCTTTGTCCAGGCCCAGAAGACAGGGTGGAGGAGACCTACCAGGACCTGGGAGGTCGGGCAGCACGTCCACCTTCTCCTTCCATTATCCCGGCCACCTAGTGCCTCCTTGGAGAACTGTACATGCAACGTCTAAGGCCACAGGACGACTAGCTTGGAGACTTATTGAAACTATGCAGAGTCTCCTTTTTGTGAGTTAAGGTCACAAAATCATACAAAACTGAATGTAGCTGCTTTTTTATTTTTACATTTTCATGTTTCAAAGATTAAATAAAAAGGCTCTCTGGTAGCACTGCCCACAGAGAGCTTCACTGCTAACCAAAAATGAGCTAACAAAGCAAAAAGAGAACCCTAGGAACCCGCTTGTCAAGGTCTTTGCACATCTTCAAAGCACCGGAGTACTAATTCAATAAAGCTGCTTAATTGAACTGAAAGCTTATCTTTTTCAACTCCTCACACCACCCCCTCCCGCCACCACCCCACCCCTGACGCCTCTGCCAGGCTAAGTTGATCTGTAACATTAAGGACCTGATTTACAAAATGCCAATCCCAATGTCCCAGGCAGATGCTAGGAACTCTTTCCTGCCTACGAATTTTCACACGCATTGCACTCAAGATGGGTCTTCTGGGGGAATTTTCTATTAAAAAATTTACTAGGAGTCCTGGGAACTAGGGACAGGTGGAATATCTGAAAATCCATGAGAAAGGATCATGCCGAGCTCACATTAGATTAAGCAACAGACTTACAGATTAGTAATGAACAATTTCACATTTTTCCCCCATCGCATGGAAGATTCTGCCTCTCTGTCAGGTTGACATCTGTCTCCCTCCCAACCCCATGGCACCTTCCTCCAGAAGCAAAGCCTGTTTTCTTTCTTTTTTTAAATTTTTTTTAAATTTTATTTTTAGATGCCTCTGCCAATGTACCTGTTAGAATTCCAGAAAATTCCATAATGGAACAAATATAATTTAAAAACAAAACAAAACCAATCTTCCTGATTCACCTACTGTGTTCTTTTTAAATCAAGACCAAATCAAACAAACACTACCAAAAGTTAATATGGTTAAAAGATGATGTGCTTATTTCTAATTTATTACCAAATTTTTATTTAGCTTGATATTTAACTGACCTACTGAACAAAACTAGTATTTTTTTATCAGTTTCTTTCCTTTTTAATTATATTAATCAGCTAAACTGGACACTATAAATTAATGTTTTCACAACAAAGAATGATTTTCAGAGTAGTCAAGTCTCATTTTGTAATATATGAAAAAAACCAGGACAAAATTATGAACATATGAAAATGATGTAAAGAAAAAAAAGCAATTAATACTATGCATTCCAATAAAAGAGAAAGGAAAATATGCAATACAATGAGGAAAATATAACAATTTAAACACTGCAAAACTGCTCAGCAGAATTCTGCCTCTTTTCCTTGACAGGGATTAATACTTGGTAAACCAGGCCAGCACGGATTTACTGACTCATCTCTGTGGACTGTTTCACGTATTTTTCACTCCATCTTTGGATGTAGCAAGATTTGTGTGAAATTAGATGTGGAAGTAAACAAGTAAGCTTGTGTTTATCTTGCTTTCTGGATGATTGGCCTTTAACTGAGCCTTCCAGCGGCATGTGGTTGTTGTGTGCCATTGAGTCGCTGCCCTATGCACAACAGCTCTGAAGCTTGCCAGTTTGACTGTCTCCGATACACCTACCCCCATTGCCTCAGTCCCTGAGTCAATCCGTCTCCTCCAGGGTCCTCCTCTCCTGCGCTGTCCCTCCATCCTTCAGCATATTCTCCAATAAGTAAAAGCAGAAGGGCTTACATGTTATAGCATCTGCCCCTTCCTTGTACTTTGCTCATCTCTACACATCCCAGATTCTGATCTCCAGGCACTCTGTCGTCTCTCTTGGTGATGACAAACTTTTAGAAATCCTATGCTTC